AAATAAATAATTCTTAAAAAAAAAAAAAAAGAAAGAAAGAAAGAAAAGCCAAAATGTAAGCAGCCCCTGACTAAATGAAACAGGCAATAAATAAACCTGGGTCCAATACTTCAAAGCAAGTTCTTCATTCAGTTTATGCCACATCACATATGGATGATGACATCTGTAGATTACTGGCCTGTAATGATAATCAAATGATTTAGCTTAGGAGGCTTCAAAAATATTTTGGAATTAGGTCAAGACAAAAATAATCAATAATCGGGATTAGCAGATAGTGTAATGGCTACGGCACTGGACTCCCATGTAGTCAACCTCAGTTCGAGTCCTGGGCCTGGTGGCTTAAACTCACGCCAGCACGTGTGCGTGTGTGCTCAAAATCCTAAGGGGAGAATGGAGGAGAAGGGATTGCAGTGTGGCCATCCCCCCCCCCGGGGGGTGTGTGTCTTCTTGCTTTCTGTCTCTCTGTCTGTCTTTCTGGCAAGCGCACACACCCTATAACAACAACAACCAAAACAAAAACAATAACCCCTTTAATAGGAGATTTTTAAATAAATCTTCATAAGGTATAAAGAAGGTATATCCATCTTCCTGCTACCTCCTTGAAAAAGCACAGAACTGGAAAACATGAGAGTATTCTTTGTAGAAGCACATGTAATTTCCACCTAGCTAAAGGAAGGGAGCAGGATCAACTGTATTTTAAAAAATCTACCATGAAAATATACTTCTCCAGAAAAACAATGAGAGGTTCAAGACCAACAAGGAGGTAACTCCTCTGTCAAGTTCAGAACACAGCCTCCTATGCCATTTGTTTGATGCTTCATCATCTGGTATTTGGGGTTAAAGCAGAGCGGATATGTCCAGGAAGTGCTCAAAAGGACACATCCGCTCTGCTTCTGCACCACTTCAGTCACCACATACCGGTTCATTCTGCTATGAAATTCTAAGTGAATCACCAGATCCTGAAAAGTAATGTTAGACATCTTGGCAAAAAGACAGTCTCATTATATTGGAGACATTCCATCCATCTCTGTAAAAATAAACAATTCTTGGGACAAGTAGGTGGTGTAGTGGTTAAAGGACTGGACTCTGACATTGCCAGTGATGGTTCAAGTACCGGAGCCAGTGGTTTGAAACTCACAGTGAACACATGTGCATATGTGTTCAAAATCCCAAGAGGAGAATGGAGAAGGGACTACGGCATGGTCATCTCCCCTAGGGGGTGAATTCTTACTTTCCCTTTCTCTGTCTCCTTCTCTCCAGTGAACACACATGATCTATGGCAAAAAAAAAAATCTAAAAAAAATTTTTTTTTAAAAAAACAATCCTTTGAGTTAAACACATATCAAAACAAGTATTTCTAGTCTACCCTATGTCAAAATGATACATATACCTTTGCTTGAGTCCACAGCTGAGAGAGAAAGGGCCAGCCCGCAAATGCGATAAGTCCAGCTGTAAGCATATAGCGGTAGAAAAAACTGAGGACCTAGCAACGGATTCCAAAGAAAGAAGAGATTAGGTCACGTAACACTAGCTACATGTACATGAAAACATCTGAGAATGTCACAATCTGGTAGGTACTTACTAATACTTCGATCCCCAGGGTAAAGACGAACAGGTACCCAATAACATAGCTCAGGCGAACGGTCAACAGCGATGCAGCAAGGTCTCGTATAACTTGAAATCTGTTTTAAAAGATTATTTATAAAAAGGTTAATTATACTTTGTGTTGAACTTGAAAATTAAATATATATAATTAAAACAATGCATAAAGCTAAAAATCAGGATTTTTATTTCATAGGCTATTAAAAAAACTAAGACAAATTTCAATAAATTTGTTGCAGTGACTGTATTTACCTATTTTGTGTCTGTGTGTGGAAATTTAGAAGTATTTCAGGAAAAATGCAATTAATTAGAAAATAATCACAAAGGTTCGATTGGCGTTTGTCATTAATGACAATAAATAAGTCTTGTTTGATCTTAAACATGGGTACATACAATTACAAATACAATATTAAAAAATATAACGAAGCCAAATTATATAAGCTGAATTTTTTTTTTTTTAAAGCTTGGGGTCGGCAGGTTACATGATGGTTGAGGAGCTGACCTCCTATGTGGTCAACTACAATTTAAGTCCTGGAACTGGTGACTTGCTTTCTCACTTTCCCTCTCTCTTCTCTCTGTCTCTCTCTGGTCAAATTAAAAACTAACAGCAATAAATTTAAAAAAATAAATAATTACTGGGACTAGCAGATGGCGTAATGGTTACATTGTTAAACTCCCACGTAGTTAGCCAGGTTTGAGACCCGGATCCAGTGGCTTAAAATTCATGCCAGGTGCGTGTGTGTGCATGCCCAAGATCCTGAGAGAATGGAGGAGGAAACGTGGCGTGCCATCCCCCACCGGGGGTGATTTGTCACTTTCTGTTTCTCTCTGTCTCTCTAGAAAGCACATACTCCCTACGGCAAAAACCTATCTAAATAAATAAATAAATAATGCTTTAAAATAAAAACAAATTCACTTAAGTAACCTTATATTAAAATCCCAGTTGTCTTAATGAACTAAAGTTTCTTACTCTAGGGAAAGTCCTAATTGCAGTTAAATTAAAACGTTTTTTCTTCATTCATGATAGAGCATGTGCCCATACATGAGAGTGGGTTGAGCACCCTCTGAGGTCTGCTTATGTCCCATCCCTTCCTCCAGCCCTCCAGCCCTCCCGCCTGTCAGATCTGTGAGTGCCCAGTGTGTTTCAGGCTGAAAAGGCTGCGGACTTGAGTCGCTTTCATCCTGTGGGATCTGGCCCCTCTTGAGCGGCACATTGCCACTGTGCCATGGAGCGGCCCTAATTGCACTTTTAAATGAGATAAATAACCTTTTCCAAACCCACTTTAAGATGTCACTAATTATATTCTAATTGTAATTAAGTGTGAATTCATAACCCTCAAAAACGTATTACATACTTGGGTACACTTCATATTTCATCGCTCAGGGGGGAAAAATTCTAGCATTGTAGTATATTATTAAGTAGACAATTATAAAAGGTCAGTATCATTTGGTTAATGACCGTTTTCTGATAGAAAATAATGGTTGCAGAATGTTATCAAACTATTAAGATGCCATGTAGGAAAGAAAAGCTAACACCAGTTGACAGGAAAATGTCTCGTTCATTCTCAACAGTGAATAAACAGAAGAACAAGAGATGATTTTGTGAAATCATTTAGAAAATATTTTTCTTGCAGAAAAGTGAATTTTTATGTCTTTTTCCTATATAATCTATCAAAAAGATAAAGAGAAAACATAATATACTTTCAAAATGATGTTTTCCTTTAAAATTTAAATATAGAGGGACCAGCAGTTGGCATAATAGCTATGTCACTGGACTCCCATGTAGTCAATTGCAGTTCAAGTTCCAGCCCTGGTGGCTTAAACTTGCACTGGGTGCATGCGTGTGCGTGCCCAAGATCCCGAGAGGAGAGTGGAGGAGAACGGGTTGTGGTGTGGCCATCTCCCCGAGGGGTGATTTTTCACATTCTGTCTCTTGTCTGTCTGTCTTTCCGGCCGGCGCATGCGCCCGATAGCAAAAATCTCTCCAAAAAATAAAAAATAATTAGGGTATTTGGTAATTTAGAAAGGTTTCTATAGTAAAATAATAAAATTTTCTGCAAAGATAAAATCTTTCAGTCTAATAATTTAAAAGCCAGAGTAAATAACATTTGAAAAAAAAACTGAATTAAATCATCATATCCGACAACTTTATTCTTCTCAAATAGAGAAATAAGACTATGTTCTTTGACCAGTGTCTTTTTGTCTTATATTTAAAAATAATTAATATCTTATGTAAATATTTTCTATCTTATTTTTGATAAATTTAATACATTACTGTTTTTAATGCTTCCTGGTTTTTGTTTTTGTTTTTTTTTGAGAGGTATTTGCTATAGGGCGCGTGTGCTTGCCAGACAGACAGAGAGACAGAGACAGAAAGTGAGAAATCACCTCCCGGGGGGGATGGCCACGTCACAATCCCTTTTCCTCCATTCTCCTCTCAGGATCTTGGGCACGCACGCACACGCGCTCGGCGTGAGGGTCCGGGATGCGAACTGCGGTCGACTACATGGCAGTCCAGTGATATAGCCATTACACTAACTGCTGGTTCCAATGCTTCATGTTTTTAAAGGATGAAAAAATGGTCAAAGTTGGAGTCAACAAAAATTAGAATTAAAGTACACATAGTGTCACGATGCACCTGTCAGTGAACCCAGAGGACACCCTTATTCTAGGTCCTCATCTTCTAGTATATTCAAGAGATCTGATTTTCTCGGAAGATGTTTTTATTATTTTAGAGAGATTTTTGCTATAGGGCATGTGTACTTGCCCAGGAGACAGAGAGACAGAAAGCAAGAAATCACTCCCCACACCACCCCAGGGGGACAGCGACACTGCAATCTCTTCTGCTTCATTCTTCTCCTTTCTCATCTTGGGATCTTGGGCACGCATGTACACGCACCTGGTGTGAGTTTAAGCCACCGGGTCTGGGACTTGAACCACATTTGACTACACAGGAGTCCAGCAACATAACCATTACATCATCTGCTGGTCCTGCTCAGAAGACATTTTGATGTCCAAAAGTAAGTTTAAATTTCTAGATTACCAGTGCAAATACAGAAATCAACAAGGTCTGCCGCATGACTCTGGCTGTCTGTGAACATGAACCACTACCATGTTTTAGTGTTTTGTTTATTTTTAATTGCCAGAGTGTGCATGTGTTTGCCAGAGAGAGATGGGGGAGTTGAGGGGAGTGAACCCCTCAATGGACTGTGGTCATGCCATAACCCCTTCTCCATGTTCCATCCTGCTAAGATTTGGGGCACACAAACACGTGCACTTGGTATGTGTAGGGATTTGAACTGTAATCAGCCATGTGGGATATGGCTCCCTTACCACTAGGCCACAGGGCTAGCCCATTGGTTTTCTTTAAACATGTCTCAAACTCTCCTGAGAGTTTCTCTTCTATGATAAGAATCCATTTGAGGGACCAGCAGTTGGCATACCAGCTATGTCGCTAGACTCCCATGTAGTCGAAGTCGACTGCAGTTCAAGTCCTAGACCCAGAGGCTTGAACTCACATCAGGCATTTGTGTGTGTGTGCCCAAGATCCTGAGAGGAGAATGGAGGAGAAGGGATTGTAGTGTGGCCATTGCCCCTGGGGGTGATATCTCGCTTTCTGTCTCTCTGTCTTTCTGGTGAGCACGTGCCCTATAGCAAAAACCTCTTCCAAAAAAAAAAAGAATCCATTTGAAATCCAACTAGTAGGGACGTACAGAAACATGGTATGTGTGAATAACATGGATGAATCCCTGTATGTATACATTACTTTATTAGTAATTGCAATATTTCATTTGTCTAGGTTTATAAGATGGCAAGGAAAAAAAGGAGTAAAATGTAAGGAAAGAAAATATACAAATCTCTTTGTACAAATTCTCTCTAGAATCTGAGATGATGAGACGAGCTCAAAATATGTTACTCTAGGCATAGGGGAATCAATATTCATTATACTACTTTTACTCCAGATCTTGGTTTATATACATATAAACAATATAAACACACACACACAAAGAAGGGAACAAGGTCACTGCTACCTCAGGGCAACAAAGATGAAGTCAAAAGGTAAAGGTAAAAATTAAAAGGACATTTATGCACAACATTTTTGCAGCTACAATCATAAAGTGAGAGAGTTTAGAGATTTGAAGGTATTATAAATATCTTTATGACTTATGCTACCAAAATCTACTGCATTTTAAATATAAATTCAACTGTCAACCAAGTGAAAAACAAGGCAGTGAGATGTATTACTTACTCTCGTAGAACTGCATACCATACTGGCACTGGCAACAGACAATATACATAATAAGTCCAGGGACAGGCTTGAATCAGTAGGAATAATGCCACGAAAATACCAATAGCTACAAAACTGCATGGCAAGAGATGGCTTGGTTCCTGAAAATCAAACAAAACACTGAAACACTTCCAAATCCATGTTAACTAATAGGTTTTTAAAAGAAATTTTATGAAGTGAAGAAAACATACTGCTTTCTTTCAACAGTTCTACAAGTAGATGATTAATCAAAGAGCTGTGAAAGAGAAAAGAAGGGAGGGAGGGATGTAGGGGAGACGCCGGTCTTTGGGAAGCATATTACAGAAGAAGCAGCTGTACTGCCTGGAATTGTTGGAATTAGGCAATTCTCACCTTAAAAGTGACTATGGTCCTAAAGTTTGCTTGCAAACAGCTTGTGTGGAATTCTGAACATATACCCTCTTAGAAACAATTTTAGAAATGCTGATGGAGCCCTCTGGCTAGTTCACAAAACCCTATTAAACCCAGAATAAATTATGGGACTGGATCCTTATTTGGTGCTGCCCACTCCTCTCCATTCATTGCCCAAGCCCAGAAATTTCAATTGGCCAAACCTACTCTTCCCGACCACCTGCCAAACAAGAAGGGAGGGCCTCAATGCACATGTTAGCACCCACAGCCTAGGCAGGCCCATGGATGCTTGGGCCACATGTGATAGTGCAGGCTCAGGGGCAGAAGTCCCAGTACCTGGGAAAATGACTTATGTATGGGAAGTTACGATGCTAGGAACAAGAGTTCTAAATTATGAAGTGGGAGTTAGAAAGGGGTTAGAAGTATAATTAGGAACTCCCAACAGAGTAATCCTGCTTGGAGAGAAGAAATGTGTGAAAAAATAGGAATGGAAGAGTACCATGGTACCTTCTTGCCTACATTCCTTGTTTTTCTCTGCATTCTCCTTATTCTGATAGCCAACGTTAAATAAGGTGGGAACTGAGAACTGCCTTCCAGCCTGGCTTTGGGAGCACAGGCAGAGGCACTGCTGTGCAGTGTTGGGAAGGGAGAAGACGGGAGAGGGGTGGAGGACAGAGGACAGGAAGGGAGAAAAGGAAGAAGGATGGAAAGCAGGAAGGAGGGAGGGAAAAAGAAAGGGAAGGATGAAGGAAAAAAGGAAACTAACTTCAAAACATAATCTGTCTTCTGGAAGTAGGAGAATTTAGGGAGTAAAAGCAAGAGATTTTTGTTTTGTTTGTTTGTTTTCCCCCTTTATATAATTCCTCCATCACTGGCATCAGAAAGGAAATAAGAAACAAGGATAAATAGGGCATTGTTTTTAAAAGGAGGTTAAAACATGGCTTTGTAATTAAGAGTTTGGAGCTAGACGGATCAGAATCCAAATCTTGACTCTGACAACTACTCACTGTGTAAATCATGAAACAACGTATAAAACTTAGTTATGCTCCTTCTATCAAAATGGGAATACTAATTCCACATCTATTTATTGAGGTTGGTAATGCTTACATGAGATCATGTAAAGAGTTTAACAAAATGCCTGGTCTATTACTACTGCTTAGTAAATAATGGCTGCTATTATTTTATCTTTATCCTCTCCTCCCCTACTTCTCCTTCCACAGGCCCGGCAATCACTACAGTAACCTATTAGTGAACAGCACGGGACACGGAGGTATGAGACACAGCAGAAGGGGTCTCACAGCAAGTGGATGGAGGAGGAAGGGACAAAAACCAAACACAAGACAACACATGAAGTCTCTAAAGCTGAAGATGGCCGAGGTCGCAATTCACTGTATGGGTTGAGGGCTGGTTTTATGTCATTTTGAGAATAGTAAAACAGAAAGAAAATAGCTTGGGTTAGCTCCATGACCTGGTGGTTAAGACAGCTAGATCCTATGTGGTCAACTACACTGTTTGAGTCCCGGACATGGCAGCTTGAGAAATGCAGTGGGAGTGTGTGTACACGTACGCATGCTCAAAATCTGGAAAAGGGGGAGAAATGGAGAGAAGGGATTGCAGCATGAATACTCTTTGTGGAGGGTGCTTTCTCCTTTCCTCTGTTTCTCTGTCTCTCTCTTACAACTATATGTGCCCTCTAGCCTGCATGAGATTGTATACACACACACTCACACACACACACACACACACACGTCTGTAAGAATACCTAAACAAAACATTCAAGAGATTTCCTAGAGTTATTACAATTTGGTATAATTCTCTAATCCTTTGATACACAGAGTAATAGCTATTAGAAATTACATACACTTATAGGAAACTATAATAAGTTATATATAAAAAAAAAAATTAGGTTCAGCCATTTTTTTTAAAAAAAATGTAGCTGCTAGAGGGCACGTGTAATTATGCCTACTTTCAGTTGCTATGACTCTAAGACGCCAGGACACAGCTCAAGTACTCACAGAAAGCCTCAGCATACCCATTACTGAAACGGTCATTTTGTAGCTTTTCCTACCATGTTGAAAATAATTCCTATTCTAGCCAACTTCACATGTATTCAAATTAAAATTACTTGGGGGAAATTATATAAGATGCATTAAAGCATTATAAAAATTGGAATAAACATTAATGTTCTTCCTTCCATTACAGAAAAGTAAAATATAAAATTAGAAAAGTTGCCACTGGAAATGTTTGCAGACTATTATTATTAAAAATATACCAGCAGTTTTTTTTGAATTTATTATTTTTTAGAGAACCTGAAAATGGTAATAATCATTAGAATGAGGCAAAGGGAACAGAAGTAGCATATTCTCCCTGGTAAATGATAGTCAGCAATATATTTTAAAAGACGTAAGTGTTTTTATGTAGTAAAACCATATATGTACTGTTATATTTACTCAGTATATGAAGTATCATTAAAGAGGCTTTAAATTTTTTTTTCATTGGGGCTGGTAGGTGGTGTGGACACTGGACTCCCATGTGACTAACCATGCTTTAATTTCCAGACTTAGCCACTTGCTTTCTCACTTTCTCTCTTTCTGTCTCTTTCTGGTCATATAAAATAATAATAATAACAATAATGATGATAAATAAAATGAAATAAATAGTTCTTAAAATTTTTTTTCATTAAAAGTAAAGTAAGCTAAGGACCAGCAGTTGGCACAACGACTATGTCGCTGGACTCCCATGTAGTCGACCATGGTGCACGTCCTGGACCCAGTGGCTTAAAACTCACGCCGGGCGCATGTGCATGCGTGCCCAAGATCCTGAGAGGAGAATGGAGGAGAAGGGACTGCGGTGTGGCCATCCCCCCTGGGGGGTGATTTCTCACTTTCTGTCTCTCTGTCTCTCTCTGTCTGTCTGGTGAGCACACGCACCCTATAGCAAAAACCTCTCCCAAAAAAAAAAAGAAAAGAAAAAAAAAAGTAAAGCAAGCTAGAGACAAATTCTTAAAATAAGAATAGAAAGTTCTGGAAATTTCGGAAAATTTCAGAAAGTTTAAGGTAAAAATAATGCCTTAAAAACATATTAAGAAACATTTAAAAGAAACATTATTTAAAGAAAAGAAACCTTTTAACAAGTGATTTTATGCTTTTCTGTCCCTAGACTTTCAATATCAGATAAATATATTGCTTTGAAAAAGTTTTTTGTCCACTGGTACTAGACAGGTATGTAATAATATGTATAACATGCTAAATAGTTGTAAAAAAGAACAGGAAACCAACACAATTAACATTATCAAAGAATTTAAATTATTTATACAACTGCCTCTATAGCCTTCTTAAACTACAGGGCCATTATTATTTTTTTTTAAACATTTGATCATTATATATCATTTGACTTGTAAAGAGAATTTATCCAACGTGTGTTGGAGTACGATACACATTATCAACAGGTAATAAACCATTGCTGTGTCCTACAAATATCTTGCTTCTCTATTTTTCCTCCGTGATTTCCTTCTCTACACTCTTCTCCTCATACTTTTTCCTCACTATCTCCAGCATCCATAACTATTTTCACTGCTTTTATGCCCTCTAACCCTGCAGTCTCTTCCACAGTGCAGACGGTTGGAACACATAAAGTGGATACATACACTATCTTTCTTTCATATCCTGGCTTGCTTCACTCAGCAATAAATCTTCCATTTTTGACCACTTTCTATCAAATGTCAGGGTCTTGTTGTTTTTTATGGCTGAATACTATTCCATAGAATACATGTGCCACATTTTTTCAATCCATTCATCTGCTCATGGACATTTGGGTTGGTTCCATGTCTTAGCAATCATGAATAATGCTGTAATAAACATAAATGTGCAAGCGCTTTTCCGACAGTGCATTCTCCTGTCCTTTGGGTAAATACCCAGGACTGGGACTGCTGGATCATACAGTAGTTCTACTTTTAGGTCCTTTATTTATTTATTTTTTTTTTGGGAGAGGTTTTCACTATAGGGTGCGTGTGCTTGCCAGCCAGACAGAGAGAGACATAGAGACAGAAAGCGAGAAATCACCCCCCAGGGGGGATGGTCACGCCGCAATCCCTTCTCCATTCTCCTCTTGGGATCTTGGGCACGCACGCACACGTGCCCGGCATGAGTTCTAAGCCACCGGGTCCGGGACACGAACCACGGTCGACTACGTGGGAGTCCAGCAACATAGCCATTACGCTAACTGCTGGTTCCCAAGGTCCATTATTTTCATTCATTTATTTATTTATTTATTAAATTTGCTATAGAGGGTGTGTACTGGACAGAGAGAGAAGATGAGAAGGCATCCTCCCAAGTTGAATGGCCACACTGCAATCCCTTCTTCTCCATTTTTGTCTTGAGATTTTTGTCATGTATGCATACATACCTGACATGTTCCCCAAGCCACCAGGTCTGGCATTTGAACCAAGTAGTCAACTATGTGGGATCCAGCCACATAACCACCAAGCCACCCGCTCGCCCATGGCCATTATTAGTAATAGTATATCTTTTCCCCAACTGAAAGAATAGAGATAACTGAGCAAAAAGACCCAGTACAACAAAACAAATAAGAGATAAATAAAAGTTTAGTATGATGACTTGCACATGCAATGAACTTACTATACTTATTTGTTTAAATTCCTTTCCTTGGGCCCACTGATTTTACACCATGACCTGAATCCTCATTTTACTTTCTGAACTTACCTTAATTTCTTTACTAACACCTTTTAGGAGGTTGGAATGAGACTTGATGATCACCAAAGAAGCATAAGATGTCCATCCCACAAAACCAGTAACAACATTGATGCCCAAAAAGAATCTGTCATAAGTGTGATAATAGGACAATCCTTCCAATGCAAGATTAATCAGCTCCCTGCAAAGAGAGACCTAAAGGAAAAAGAAAAAAAAAAAACCTTTCATATAGAAAGAATAAGAAAATCTAAATTCAAAGAATGGAAAATTGTAAAGTTCCTAAGAGCCAAACCACTCCTGTATTAAAATTAGAGTAATAGGGGCAAGATTAAGAATAGCTTTCAACTGTTCGAGGATATTCTTGCAAAGTATAATAAAAATTCTAGAATAAATGAAGTTTTAAGAAAGGGCATCATAAATATAAACTACCTATGACATATGAATGTTTAATAATAAAAGTATTTGTTTCACAGTAATGGCCTTCAAGCTCTTAATATAGGTCCTAAACAACACAGATGCCCATATTTATATAATTTTTTACTTCCTCACACCAGACTAGCCAAATAATCATAAACTATCACTAAAATTATATAATATTTGAGAAAAATATCTATAACAACAACTAAAATAAGCACTAGAAATAAATGGGTGGCCAGCAGGTGGTGGTTAAGGTGCTGGACTCCCACATGGCCGACTACAGTTCAAGTCCCAGATCTGGTGCCTTACTCTCTCTCTTCTTCACTCAATTTCTCTCTAATGAGTACACGCACCCAATAGCAAACTTAAAAATAATGACAATAATTAATAAAATTGTAAAAATAATTCAATTTTTTTTTTTTAAATACATAGCTTAACCATTAAAAAACTTGGGAACTAGCAGTTAGCATAATGGCTATGTCGCTGGACTCCCACGTAGTCAACCACGGTTCGCATCCCGGACCCGATGGCTTAAAACTCAAGCCGGGCATGTGTGCTAGCGTGCCCAAGATCTCGACAGGAGAATGGAGGAGAAGGGATTGTGGCTTGACCATCCCCCCTGGGGGGGTGATTTCTCGCTTTCTGTCTCTATGTCTGTCTCTGTCTGTCTGGCAAGCGCACACGCCCTATAGCGAAAATCTCTCAAAATAAAATAAAATAAAATAAAATAAATAAATAAAAAACTTTAGAAACTGAAAAGAAAATTCTTTCCTATTTCAAAGTTATGTGAACATTCAACAAAGGAACAAAATAATGAAGAGAGTGGGGTTGGGAGTCAAAGTATCTATATGAATCATGAGACTTGTGATAGTATATGCACCATTCCAGATGACAAATTTGTGGTGCTATATACAAGAAGGGTGGCATACAATTGGAATACATTTTCTCATTTTAAGAAATAGTAATAGTTCACTTCTAATGCTAATCTACAAAAATTTACCCATAATGTTATTGAAAATAAGAGCAACATGTTCATGACGAAAGCAGCGACTCAAGCTTGAAATTGAACTGTTCTGAGACAGGTCAGAAAAGCTCGCTGCTTTTTTGTGCAGATAGCAGGCCCACAAGCATGGTGAACGTCCCTAAAACCCACCAGACCTTCTGTAAGAAGTGTGGCAAGCACCAACCTCATAAAGTGACACAGTACAAAAAGGGCAAGGATTCTCTGTATGCTCAGAGAAAGCGGCGTTATGACAGGAAGCGGAGTGGCTATGGTGGACATACTAAGCCTATTTTCCGGAAAAAGGCAAAAACTGCAAAGAAGATTGTGCTGAGGCTTGAATGTGTTGAGCCCAGCTGCAGATCTAAGAGAACGCTGGCTATCAAGAGATGTAAGCATTGTGAACTGGGAGGGGATAAGAAGAGAAAGGGTCAAGGGATCCAGTTCTAAGCCTCATCTTTTCTATTATGAAGATGGCAAAATCCTGAGGTGAATGTTCACCTCATTTGATTACAGTTGGTCTGTTTGTAAGGGAATAAAGTAATCAATAAAATTCCCCTTCGGGGAAATTTGACTCACGGTAAAAAAAAAAAAAGAGAGAGAGAAGCTCCCTGACCTGCCCACTTTGCTCTCCAACACCAGACTTCACCCCCACTCCCAGAAACGATAATCTGGTATTTATGTTTTCAAGGTCTGTATACCTACCACTTCATCAAACTTCCTCTGTTTTATGTAAGATCTTGCTTTTCTTAAAATGTTGAGCTGTTCAGAATCAGAAAGTAACCTATAAAGAAAAAAAGAATAAGCTTAAAGTACCCTCAATCAATAATATACTTCCTTGTTTTCATTATCGGTATTAATATTTTTTTTTTTTGTAAAGGCTTTTGCCTTATGGTGGGTGCATTTACCAGAGAGAGAAAGAGAGACAATGAGTGGGAAAGTGAGAAATCACTCTGCATGGGAGACGACCACACTACAATCCCTTCTCCTCCATTCTCCTCCCGGGATCTTGGGCACACACATATACGTAACCAGTATGAGTTTCAAGCTACCACGTCTGGGACTCAAACCATGGTCAGCCACATGGGAATTCAGTGACGTAATCACTATGCCAACTGCTGGCCTCTCTTGTTTTTATTTTCAATTGAAAAATAAAGGATAGCAAAAATTGAGAAAACAAAAGGAAACTTCAAGGTAAATTGTACTGCTGCCAATCTGAACTCTTTTAATAGCTTAAATTAAATTTGGTTTTCCAGATCCAAAGTTTCAACTGCCAAACTACATTTATTAAACTCATATAATCCATCTGTAGAAATGTAATACCCTGGCAAACAAAGAAATTCTGATTAAATCCAAGCCATTAATGGAACACTGAGGGTATGGTATGCATTCCACCAACTCAGCCCTCTGTGCTCATGGCACTGAAACAAAGGACAGATTCATCAATGCACTTTTTAATCCCACCCCTGGACAAGACCTGAGAAATTTCATTATGAAAGCGCTCAGGAGAGGTTAACCAACAATGGAGTTTAGTGAATAATCTGAACATATTTGCAATTCTTATATCCAGCTTTCATTTCTGTTTCCACCATTTCTCTATCTTATTTTACCACAGCAGAAACCATAAACACACAGGAGAAATACTCTGAAAAAATACAGCAATACCTGAACCTATACATATAAAAAGGCATTAAGTTTATAGAACATAGAAACTAAGATAACAGAACCTAACTACCTTCATGAACTAAATATATTTAAGCACAGATTTGAATATGTGCTATGACATTCATTTTTTTTTTTTTTTTACTTTTTAGAGAGAAATTTTTTGCTATAGGGTATGTGCACTCGCCAGAGAAACAGAAAACAAGAAATCATTCCCCGGGCGGATAGTCTTGCCACAATCCCTCCTCCTCCACTCTTCTGTCAGGATTTTAGGCACTCATGCACACACATCCGGTGAAAGTTATTTTGTTTGTGAAATCACCCCCCAGGGCGGATGGCCATGCCGCAATCCCTTCTTCTCCATTCTCCTCTTGGGATCTTGGGTATGCATGCACATGCACCTGATGTGAGTTTAAGCCACTGGGTCTGGGACTTGAACCGTGACTGGCTACATGATAGCTCAGTGACGCAGCTGCTGGGTTCAGCACTTGAACTGCGGTCTGCTACATGGGAGTCCAGAGACGTGACCATAATGCCATCTGCTGGTCCTACTACTACATTCTTAAAGATAACACATTTCTATTTTAACAAAACACACAAAAATTATTTAAGGATATATAGGTTGAATGATATAAAATTGATGTATGCTAAAAACGACTAAATAAAATGTTGGCTATTTCGTGTGGTTCTGTATAATGTAATCATCTGTCTTCTTTCTACTTCGTTTCAGCAGTCTCTGAAACAATAAGGACTGAGACTTGGAGGAAGTAAATCTTTTAAGTAATTATTGTAACGGGGGGGTCATAAGACTTTTTTTGGAATTTGATACTCTTGTCCAGAAAATGCACATAATCTCAAATTTTACATATAATTTCAGAAAATTCATGAACCTGAGAAGGCTATTTATGAATTCCTTTACAGTTCTATGGCAGTAGCTTATGAAAGAACACTTGAAAAATTTCACTTGATTTAGTTCCCTGCCCCTTCTGAAACCATGGACTTTGGAGTATCTTCCTGGAAGTTACACAAACAGGATTTCTGGCCCAAAGAACAGGCTTTTTAATTTATTATTATTTTTTTTAAGACTATACCTAAGCTTAATTTCCCACATTTCTATGAAAGTTTTTTAGTTGACTTCATTCCCCTTGCTCTGAGCCACTCAACTTTCTAAAATATTGATTTTATAACTGATATGGGCTTCTTATTGCCTACTTATTAATTCCAACCTTTTTGAACTATTGGTGACCCTTTCCTCTATTTCATTTAAATTCTCATTGTCGCAAATGTATACCCCCAACTGTATAATGGTTAAACTCTTCATTCTTCACCTGTTTTGTATTCAACATTTGAGTTCTTGCTACTAAAGATCTTCCCTTCTCTACTTTACAAAATCAAACCTCCATCATCCTTTGTGATCCACTGCAAATCTCACCTAATATCCATACAACTGGCACTTTAGTGTGGTCTAATGATCAGTTTATTTCCCTTCAATTAAGTTTTAACCTCCATGTGGGCCAAGATAATGTCCTAATATTTCCAGTAATATCCACAATAACACTTAGCAAAGGGCTAGGCACGTAAAATGAATCAATATATCTTCATTGATTAAAATGCTATCAAACTATTACAGACCTAAGAAAGAAAAATATTACCATTCTTAAAGCACCTAAGAATTTGCTAAATTAAATAAAAGGATAAACAAAAAGCTCTTCTAAAGTGAAATTAATTAAGCTAATTTGATTGGCATTCTTGGGGCTAGGCAGTGGTATGGCGGAACACTGCAATGCTCTATGAGGATAACCCACAAGGGTGGGTTCGAGGTCTGTGTCTGGGCATCTCCCATGAGCTGGAGCTGGCGGAGGGTAGGGTAAGAGTGTTGGGAGTGTTATCTCTGTCTCTTTCTTGCTCACAGAATAAGTAAAATAAACTTTGGGCATTCTCAAGTGAAATCTTTATAAGAGAGGAAACATTTTTAAGGAGAATATTTATGTTACATTATATATTACATATGGAATACTCTGGTAAAGAAATAGGGGTCAAGCTCATTTGCAATTTTTTTCCCAAAATGGACTATTCATAAATCTTGAGACATAACAAAGATGAACAAACCAAAGATTTGCATTATATCTGAAATTCAACATGCTCTATACAAACCTCATTGTATCACCATGACACTAAAGACATCTTTTGCTTTAGTTTTCCATCCCCTACATACGAGTCCAGCGACACAGCCATTATGCCAACTGCTGGTCCCTGAAATCATGTATTTTAAACATAAAAAAATCTTGTGAGAAAATATGAAGTCCAGAACATAAGACACAATTATGAAAAAAAAAGAAAGAAACAAAAGAAGCCACCAAAATTAAGGGTTGGCAGGGGAGCAATTAAAGAAATACCATGTATAAAATTATAATGAATAAGGGAGATCTGTACGTGTCGGCATTAATGAAACTTAAAAATCATAATGAATGGAAAAAAATTACCAAAAATTGTATTTTTAAATTAGGGATTTTTTTTTATTTCCTAAGAAAAAGAGGATATAAATAAATGTAAAGTGTTAATATTTGTTAGGCCTAGATTGTGAGTACAAGAATTGTTGTCATATCCTCTGTTTTTTTAAGGTATATTTGCAATATTTCATACTTAATTTTTTTTGGTTAAGATTTTTGGTATTAGGGCACATGCACTCATTGGAGAGACAGAGACACAAAGAAAGAGAAATCACTGGGGGGATGGCCATGTTGCAATCCCTTCTCCTCCAGTCTCCTTTTGGGATTTGGGGAACATATGCATACATGCCCACCGTGAGTGTTAAGCCACCGGGTCTGGGACTCGAAATGTGGTCAACTATGTGGGAGTCCAGCGATGTAACCATCCGCTGGTCCCTCATAATTAAATTCTTATTTTTATTTATTTTTTAAGGATTATTTATCTAATTTTATTTATTCACTCCTTTATTTAAATTTGACCAGAGTGACATAGAGAAAGAGAAAGGGAAAATGAGAAAACAAGTCACCAGGTCCAGGACTCAAACCATGGTTGGCCATGTGAGAGGGTCCAGTCAGTGCCTTAACCACCATCCCACACGCTGGTCTCCATAATTAAATTTTTAAATGTTAACAAGGGCTGGCCCTGTAGCCTAGTGATTAAGGGACCTGGGCTAATACTCGAATACTGGCTCTGATCAAGGTTCAAATCCTGGTAGCCTGAAAAATATGCCAAGCGTATGCACATGTATACCCCAAATTCTAAGAGGTTGGAACAATGGAGAAGGGACTGCGGCATGACCACGCGCCACTGGGGGGGAGTACTTTCTCCCCTGCCCTCTGTTAGTTTCTCTCTAGCAAGTACACACATCCTCTGACAATTAAAAAGATGTTAATGAAAGGGATATAAACTTATATGGATATATGTACTCATGATAGATACAAACGAATGAACAATAAACTACAACTTTTCTTCCAGAGAAATGAATACTAAGACTAGACACGGGAAGAAAGGTGACTTTTTATTATAGTCTGTGTAATTTAGATTGTGTGTATGCATCACTATTTCATTAACAAGTTTTCCTAAATAAAATATTTAAAATATTAAAATTTAATCATAGCTTCTAGTAGGCTAGCCAAATGGTTCAGTGGTTAAAGTGGCTGGGTCCCACATGGTTGACTGCCTGGTCCAAGTCCTGAACCTAGTGACTTTAAAAACATGACCAGTGCATGTGCTTGTGTGCCCCAAATCCCAAGAGGAGTATGGAGAAGAAATTGTAGTATGGTCATCCCCCAGGTGAGTGCTTTTTCTTCTTCATTCTCTGGCTCTCTCTTCCTTTCTGTCTCTCTGTCTCTAGCAAGTGCATTCCTCCAATAGCAAGTTAAAAGAAGAAGAAAAGAAAAGAAAAAAGAAATCATACCTTCTGTTATTATAGAGAAGCATGGACATACCAATACTCCCACCAAGAACAACTACAAAGCTTGATAAATAAAATTAAATATCACTTTGAACTTAATAAGATGATAAAGAATTGAAGAGCCAAGATCCTAGAAAGAAAGAAAACACAGAGATGTAAGAAACATGCTAGAAGTTGTAAGTCTTAGGACATATGCCATTCTTTTTCTTGACACAAAG